CATGAGCAGGCGGTGCTCAGCACACCTCAAGAAGCAGCTGAGGCTGCTCCTGTGATCCAGAAACAAGGAAGCAGGCTCACACCCAGAGGAGGGGGTGTTCTTTCAGTTCAGTGAAGACAAGGCTTTCCATCTGCTGTACTCACTGCTGGACGTGCACCATCAACAGTGCCTGGCACATGAAAGGTGCCCAATAAATGTTCGCTGCCAGCCAGGTACGGTGGCTCACGTCTGTAATCCTAGCACTTTGGGATGCCTAGGTGGGCAGATGACTTGAGGATAGGAGTTTGAGACCAGCCTGGCCAACATGGTGAAACCCCGTCTCTACGAAAAATTCAAAAATTGACCAAGTATGGTGGTGCACGTCTATAATCCCAGCTACTCGGGAGGCTAAGCCACAAGAATCACTTGAACCCAGGAGGCAGAGGTTGCAATGAGCCGGGATCTCGTCACTGCACTCCAGCCTGGGCGACAGAGCGAGAGTCTGTCTATACATAAATAAATAAAGTTCACTATACATAAATAAATAAAGTTCACTGTCATTTATTATACATAAATAAATAAATAAAGATGGGCAGAGCTCATCTTCAGACATCATCTTGTGGGCTCTCACAAAGGCAGCTGAGCTAAGGCAGCCAGGGAGGCAGGAGAGAAACTTTGTGACTCAGAAGCAAGTATTTCAAGGAGGAATTTATGGTCTGGGGAAGTCAAGGAAGATAAAACCCAACAAGCATCCTTCTCCCAGTTTATCCCCAGGAAGCCCTCACAGCTCCGCCAGCCCCAAAGCACAGGGAGCGCCTTCTGTTCACCTAGGATCATATTTAGAACATCGAAGGGTGCATGTGAAAAACAGAAGATACAGCTTCCTTGAAGCCTCTGGTCTAGTAAGAAGATACTATTATTCACAAGAATAAACAACTCCTAGCATTACAAAACTCTGATTTTGGTTTCTGTAGATGTCCCCTGGATCACTTCCCCAGAGTCCCACAGCTTGATAATGGAAGAACAGAATGAGTAGGTGTGCAGACCTTGTCTCTACTCATTATTTTCTGTGGTAGGAGTTGCTCAATGTTTGCCAAGAGAGTTGCTGGTGGTAGCCTAAATACAACTGCAAATTTGCAAAATAAGTGTTGCGCAAGGAAGAAGGCATCCTAACTGCAGAAACATTTTATTTAAAAATATTGTATTATAATAGCAGAGACAAAAGATTGGGGAAATGCTGGTAGTCATAATTAAGATTTGACTACCAAATCAAATTTAATAGGTCAAATACAAGGGCTCCCCACATGCAAAGAATTGTTAATGAAACAAGTATTTTCTTTCTTTTCTTTCTCTTTCTTTCCTTCGTTCTTTCTTCCTTTCCCTTCCTTCCTTCCTTTCTTTCTTCCTCCTTTCCTTCCTTTTTCTTTTCTTTCTTTCTTTTTTTTTCTTTCTTTTCTTTCTCTTTCTTTCCTTCGTTCTTTCTTCCTTTCCCTTCCTTCCTTCCTTTCTTTCTTCCTCCTTTCCTTCCTTTTTCTTTTCTTTCTTTCTTTTTTTTTCTTTCTTTTCTTTCTCTCTTTCTTCCTTTCTCTCCCTCTCTTTCTTTCTTTGACGGAGTCTCGCTCTGTCGCCATGCTGGAGTGCAGTGGCACAATCTTGGCTCACTGCAACCTCTACCTCCTGGGTTCGAATGACTCTCCTGCCTCAGCCTCCCAAGTAGCAGGGAATACAGGTGCCCACCACCATGCCCAGCTAATTTTTGTATTTTTAGTAGAGATGGGGTTTCACCATATTGGCCAGGCTGGTCTCAAACTCCTGACCTTCTGATCTGCCTGCCTCAGCCTCCCAAAGTGTTGGGATTACAGGCATGAGCCACCACACTTGGCCCAAACATTAGCTTTATGACTCTGAAAATTTGGGAATAATTCTGTCTGCCCAGTGTGACTGTGAATGGCCATTCTTAGAGAGTTCTAGAATATCTGAGAGCCTCATTCTTCGTGTGAATCTGCTTTTAGCTACTTAGCCAAATAAAGCAACCCAACCAAGTGGCAAAAGTCCAAGGTATGACTGCTATGGGCAACAAAGGCCAGCCCTTCTGTTTCACAGTTTGCTTGGCCTGTAAAACTAGAGCACATGTGTTTGCTTATTTAATGCAGAGTTTCTACAACGGGTCCATCAGGTCAAATTCCTGTAACCACAAAATATGATCCATGAAATCTACATGCAGGGTGAGTGTATGATGCTGCCAACAGTAAATGCTGAGTCATCGGTTCCATGGTTAGTCCTAGCGATAAACCAGGCAGTTGCTCTAATGATGTTTAGCTACTTCTTGCCTGCACAGCTCAACCAAGGACCAGATCTACAAGCCTACTTCAAGGTCACCAGGAACACCACTGCCTGGTTGGAGAGACTGGGGGCTCCACACATCTCCATCTCCGGGAGAGAATTTGCCAGAGTGGTAAGCACCTAGAGATACCACCTGCATACACAGAAGACATGCTGAACTAATAGCAAGGTATGCCCACTCTTCAGGCCTCGGTGTCTTTCTTTTATTATTTATTTATTTATTTATTTATTTTGAGACAGGGTCTCACTCTGTCGCCCAGGCTGGAGTGCGGTGGCACAATCACCACCTACTGCAGCCTTGACCTCCTAGGATCAAGCGACCTCCCACCTCAGCTTCGTGAGTAGCTGCTACAGGTACACTGCACCATGCCTGGCTAACTTTTGTATTTTTTTTTTTTTTTTTTTTTTTTGGAGACAGAGTCTCACACTATCGCCCAGGCTGGAGTGCAATGGTGTGATCTCGGCTCACTGCAACCTCCACCTCCTGGGTTCAAACGATTCTCCTGCCTCAGCCTCTCAAGTAGCTAGGACTACAGGAGCACACCACCATGTCTGGCTAATTTTTGTATATTTAGTAGAGACAGGGTTTCACCATATTGGCTAGGCTGGTCTTGAACACCTAACCTTGGATGCACCCACCTTGGCCTCCCAAAGTGCTGGAATTACAGGCATGAGCCACTTTGCCCAGCCTAACTTTTGGAATTTTGGTAGAGACAGAGTTTCACCATCTTGCCCAGGCTGGTTTTGAACTCTTGAGCTCAAGCGATCCCCCTGCCTTGGCATCCCGAAAGTGCTGAGGTTACAGCAATGAGCCACTGCTCCCAGCAATGGTCTGTTTCTTCATGTCAAATGCCACACGTGCAGGACAGACATTTTGTTAGCATCTTCTAGTTCTATCATTTTCAGAATCTGTAACTAGTTAAACAATAATTTAAGAGTTAGCAATGTTATTGATTTTTAAGTTTTGGGTTTTTAAAATAGATTCCTGGCCAGGCACAGTGGCTCATGCCTATAATTCCAGCACTTTGGGAGGCCAAGGTGGGTGGATTGCTTGGGCTCAGGAGTTTAAGATCAGCCTGGGCAAAATGGTGAGACCTTGTCTTTACTAAAAATACAAGAAAATAGCCAGAAGTGGTAGTACACACCTGTGGTCCCAGCTACTTGGGAGGCTGAAGTAGGAGTGTCACTTGAGAGTATGTAACGGAGGTTGCAGTGAGCCAAGATCACACCACTGCCAAGAACACGCCACTGCATTCCAGCCTGGGTGACAGAGAGACACCTTGTCTCAAGAAAAAAAAAAAAATCCTTTGTTAGAGATGTGTGTTTGTTTCTTTCTCTTTTTTGAGACAGAGTCTTATTCTGCCACCCAGGCTGGAGTGCAGTGGTGCGATCTTGGCTCACTGTAACCTCCACCTCCTGGATTTAAGCAATTCTCCTGCCTTACCCTTCCAAGTAGCTGGGATTACAGGTGCATGCCACCACAGCTGGCTAATTTTTGTATCTTTAGCAGAAATGAGGTTTCACTGTGTTGGCCAGGCTGGTCTCAAACTCCTGACCTTAAATGATCCGCCCACCTCAGCCTCCCAAAGTGCTGGGACTACAGGCGTGAGCCACTGCGCCCAAACTGTATTTCTTTAATTGAGAATAAAATTGCCTTCAGTTGGTTGGTGCTTAGAATTACTGGTCTCCAAATCATACATGGATCCAGAATAACATTTGCCCTGCTCTGAAGAAGAATGCCACATAAGAGTGTAAACGTATAGAAAGAAATGTACATAATAAAGCCATTTCAGAAGCAGATATGATGGGACAGATATACTGGCAGATGCCCTTTAAACTTGATCCTCTCATGCTAGGCCTAAAATAAGACAGTTAGGTTTAGTGTGTGTACATATGGGTTACATTTCAGAAGACGTGAAATTGGTCCCAATCTAAATAAAAATGAGCTAAGCTCTGCCTGGGTTCATTTACATTCATCTATCAACAGCCTTGCAGAGATGGTTACGTAAGTGCTACAGGATGGTTCCAGCACTTGTTTTGAAGGGTCTTTCAGGCCATTCAAGCCGCATCCAAAAATAGTCGGGGTTGGGCCCTATTCTATACTGCCTGAGGCTTCACAAACGGCAAACCCCCATATCAGTCATGGTTATGCCCCATCTGGCTCGGCTTTCTGGGTTAGATCTTCCGAGATTTCATTTTATGAGTATTCCTGATTACCAAATGTTTGGAACTCAGCTCCTGCCCCACAAAGTCTTTATGACCTGTTGCATAAAACCAGTGACAGTGCCACATCCAGGCAGGACGAGGACCGTGTACTCCTGACTGCGGAGACAGGAATGCTGGCAGTGTTACTTTTGAGGTCACTATTGGCCAAGATAATTTCTTCACTAGGCAAAGGCAAACCTCCTTAAGTGAGTTTCCTGCGGGGACTTGGAGAGAAGGGCCATAGATGCTCTGGGAGGGAGAGTGTACCATCAGGGACCTTAGACAATCACAGCAAGACAATGAGAAGCCTCTGGGGACCATTCTATAGGGGACTTTTTCCCTGGCCGTGCAGCTGACAGGCCCGCCCAGGAAGCAGAGTCCCTGAGCTCTCCCTGGCAGCTCTCGGTGCATTTCCAGGGGAACGGCTTGGCAGCCCCGTGCTGGGTGGTGCGCTCCATCTATTTCTATGGTACCTATCACCATGGTACCTACTTGCTCTGAAAAACACAGCTAAAAACAGAACATAAAGAAAAGGAGCACAGTCCGCTTCCCTGCAGTCACCTTCTGCAGCTGTTCTTATCCCTCATGATTGCTCTCACGGGCCTCTTCCATTCTGAGTTTCCGTGTTTTTGTTGTATGTGACCTTAAAAAACAAGAGGCTTACTATCTGCACCAGCCTCATCTTGGAGACGATGTGGCCTGAGGCTTCAAAAATTTCCCACTCGCCTTGCTGCAAGCGTACCTTCCTCCAGGGGACACATTCACCCAGGAAGCAGCTCCTCCTGGGCCTTGTTGGGAGCCCCATGTCAGACGTTTTTGGGACAGGGGAAGAAGTGGGGAGTGGGGGATGACTGCGACATTAGTGCACATTGGTGACCTGAGAAAGGACCTGCATTTATTCCAACAAAGAGGAGCCCATGCTTTCTCACGAACATCCTGGAAATTGTCTTCAGGGAAAGATTCACAAGGCCAAATCAATTCTCCAAAAGTTTTCTTTTTCTTTTTTTTCTTTTTGAGACAGTCTTGCTCTATTGCCCAGGCTGGAGAGCAATGAGACAATCTTGGCTCACAGCAACCTCTGCCTCCCAGGTTCAAATGATTCTCCTGTCTCAGCCTCCCAAGAAGCTGGGCTTATAGGCGTGTGCTACCACGCCCAGCTAATTTTTTTGTATGTTTAGCAGAGACGGGATTTCTCCATGTTGGCCAGCCTGGTCTCAAACTCCTGACCTCAGGTGATCCACCTGCCTTGACCTCCCAAAGTGCTGTGATTACAGGCGTGAGCCACTGCGCCCAGCCCAAAGGTTTTCTTTAAGTCAACAATTATCCTTCAGAGCAGTGCTCAGCCCAGCCATTGTAGTCAGACAGAACGTAAGTTCAAATCCCAACTCAGCCACTTGCCAGGCATGTGAGATTAGTGGGCAACCTCTTGGAGGTTAAATTTACTCATTTTTAAAATGGGGAATGGGCCAGGCATGGTGGCACACGTCTGTAATCCCAGCATTTTGGGAGGCTGAGGAGGGCGGATGGCTTGAGCTCAGGCGTTTGAGACCAGCCTGGGCAACATGGTAAGACCCCGTCTCTCCAAAAATATACAAAAGTTAGCCAGGTGTGGTGGTGCATATCTGTGGCCCCACATCGGGAGACTGATATGAGCAGATTGCTTGAGCCTCAGAGGTCAAGGCTGCAGTGAACCATGATCACGTCACTGCACTTCAGCCTGGGCAACAGAGTGAGACCCTGTCTCCAAAAAGAAAAAGAAAGAGGGAAAAGGAAATGGGGATGACTGTATAGACCTTACAGGGACAAGTCCCTTGCTCTGACCTCAGCCTCCATGGTCATTCCTTGACCTTCCCATCTATAAAATGGGGAGGATCATGGCACCAGCCTCAAAGCAGCTTTGGGATGGTTCCAGGAGATGATATATGTAAAGTGCTGAGAGGGCACCAGGTACATTGCAAGCGCTCAGTAATTGCTGGAGATGTGTGAGGAGGATGGTGGTGATAGCTGGGACAAGGATGCTCTGTGGGGAACGTTTGTGTCAGCCCTGTCTTGGTTCTCCTACGTGTGACTCCCTGTCTTCAGTCCTGGCGGAGCAGGTACAAACAGGGTCCCAGCTCACAAGTGGACCCTGCCTCCAGACTCCCAGATGCATCCTTTTATTATTATTGTATTAAAAAAAATTTTTTTTTGAGACAGAGTTTTGCTCTTGTTGCTCAGGCTGGAGAGCAATGGCGCAATCTTGGCTCGCTACAACCTCCGCCTCCCGGGTTCAGGTGATTCTCCTGCCTCAGCCTCCTGAGTAGCAGGGATTACAGGTATGCACCAATACACCCAGCTAATTTTGTATTTTTAGTAGAGACGGGGTTTCTCCATGTTTGTCAGGCTGGTCTTGAACTCCTGACCTCAGGTGATCCAGCCACCTCAGCCTCCCAAAGTGCTGGAATTACAGGCTTGAGCCACAGTGCCCGGCCTCCCGGATACATTCATCAGTGTCCCTGGGCATAGTGGATGTAGCTGAGGCCAAGCTCAGGCTGCGAGGTGGGTACACCATGCAGAAGGGTCAGCAGCCCAGATGCTCGACATGATACACAGGACAAAAGAATTCTCAGGTCCTGGAGAAAACCCCAGTGTGGTTACCTGCTTGTTTGTCAGTTTTGGAGTCAACAGCCCTGAGGACTCAACTCTCCCTTTTGCCCACTCATTAACAGAGTGGCTCTGGACAAGCCACTTGCCTTTCCTTCTCCATCTGTGAAATGGGGCAAAGAGGGAGGTTGGGAGCATCAAAGAGAAAATGCAGGAAAAGCCTCCAGCCCAGAGTCAGCACATAGTGGGCTCTCAGCAACTGTGAGCTCCCTTGTTTCCTAACACGCCCCCACACTGAACATTTTAAGGCTGAGTAAATACTCCATTTAATGAATAAAGGGTTAGGCGCTATAATAGGAGGAAACAGGCTCATTTCCTGAATTTGCGAGTAATCCGGTAAATGCTGCACTGAAACTCCCAGACTCACACAAAGCCGGAGGCCCCACAGGCTCCCCATGAGGCCCCTTCCAGCAACCCCAACTCCCTCCCAAATGCTCCATTTCTCACAACTCACTTTCAAGAACAAAGAACCCTCTGCTCTAGCCAAACAAGTCTGTGGGCTACAATCACACACTGCTTGTGCCTTCCTGCCTTTTTGTTTCACAAAAGCAATTTTCCTGTTGTGATCATTGTGTTTGTCTCCTCCCTGACAAACCCCACTTCCCATGAGAGCCCCCAATTTTCATTTGAGGGTCCATGTGCTTCCGAGGACAGAGCATGCCACTTAAGCTAAACCAATTAGCCACTCAATCCCCCTGGCAGGCAGGGATTGGTTCCTGAGATCTAAGTTGGTCCAATTAGAATGACTCCCACGACTCCCTTCTTTTGAGACGGAGTCTCGCTCTGTTGTTGCCCAGGCTGGAGTGAGGTGGCACCATCTTGGCTCACTACAACCTCCACCTCCCAGGTTCAAGTGATTCTCTTGCCTCGGCCTCCCGAGTAGCTGGGACTACAGGCAAGCGCCTGGCTCATTTTTGTATTTTCAGTAGAGACAAGGTTTCACCATATTGGTCAGGTTGATCTCGAACTCCTGACCTCAGGTGATCTACCTGCCTTGGCCTCCCAAAGTCCTGGGATTACAGGTGTGAGCCACCACACTGGCTCTGGCCTTCCTGTTTTGACCATTTATATAGTTACTTGATAAATGTTTGTTACCGAATGGCCAATACAATCTCCTACAACCAGAAACACCCTGTCCCGGGGACACCCCCCGCCCCAGGTGAGTAGTCTGAAAAGTACCAGGCTCTGGGCTGAATGCATGACATATGTTATCTCATTTTCAGAAAACAGCTCATTGCATTTATGTTATTCTCGAATGCAAGGGCTGGTGGCTTTTTGCCAAGGCTTGTGAGTGGAGCCTGTGTGAACTGGAGGGGGAGATCTTATACAGAGGAACTAACGCAGAGAGCGGTGGCCCTTCATGGTGGCACAGACCTGGATGGAAAGGGCAAGGCCTTTGGTTTAATTCTTGACTCTACTTCTTACGTGGATGATCTTGGGCAAGTTACTCTGTGTATTTGTGTCTCAGTTTTTTCATGTGGCAAATGAAGAGGAAATCCCAACACCTCTCTGGGCTGTTGGAAGATTATATCACGTGAGTCAAATACCCAGCATGACCCTGCATCGTCTTGCTCTTTCTCTGCTATATTTCTCCTCTGCAGAACACTGACCGGTGGCTGGGCCCTCACAGGTGTATGTTCCCCCATTCTCCGTGGTGACCACCCATCCTACCTAGGAGCCGAAGGATGATATAGAGGTTCAAGAAAACACTGGCCACCAGGTGGGGAGAAGGTTCCATCCCATTCCTTGCCAAACGTAGATTTGCTGCCACAAAGCCAGAGTGTGTGGAGAGATGGTTGCAGCCCAGGCCACTTGTTTCATTGCAAATCCACTGTATTTAGATTACACCTAAGCCTTTTTCCTCTTGTCTCTGCTTAGCAAGGCAGGAACACTTTCAGATCGGACAGCCTGAGCACCAAGTCTGATTTATTAAAGGAAGAAAAGAGGCCGGGCGCGGTGGCTCAAGCCTGTAATCCCAGCACTTTGGGAGGCCGAGGCGGGTGGATCACGAGGTCAAGAGATCGAGACCATCCTGGTCAACATGGTGAAACCCCGTCTCTACTAAAAATACAAAAAATTAGCTGGGCATGGTGGCGCGTGCCTGTAATCCCAGCGACTCGGGAGGCTGAGGCAGGAGAATTGCCTGAACCCAGGAGACGGAGGTTGCGGTGAGCCGAGATCGCGCCATTGCACTCCAGCCTGGGTAACAAGAGCGAAACTCTGTCTCAAAAAAAAAAAAAAAAAATGAAAATTTCTGGCTCCATACTATTCCTACTGAATTAGACTCTGCACAAATGATTGTGAACCTTGCATAGCAATTCAGACCACAGGTTCTAGAGTCAGATAAATATGAACTGAATGCCAAACTCCAGCTCTTGATTCTTGAGCGGGTTAATTAACTTCTCTGGCTGGGCATGATGGCTTACGTTTGTAATCCCAGCACTTTGGGAGGCTGAGGACGATGGATCACCTGATGCCAGGAGTTCAAGACCAGCCTGGACAACATGGTGAAATCCTGTCTCTACTAAAAATACAAAAATTAGCCAGGCATGGTGCTGCACACCTCTAGTTCCAGTACTGAGGAGGCTGAGGCAGGAGAATTGCTTGAACCCGGGAGGCAGAGGTTGCAGTGAGCCAAGATCACGCCATTGCACTCCAGCCAGGGTGACAGGGCAAGACTCCGTCTCAAAAAATAAATAAATAAGTAACCTATCTGAGTCTCCATTGTATCACCTGTGTGAAGGTAATGCTGAACAGGCAAGTGGTATGGAGCTCATGTGATTGTTCTAAGGATGAAATGAAATAATACTTGTTTAGCAATATTTGGCACTTGGTAGATATTCAATATATCATAACTCTTCTTTTTCTTTTTCCTTTTTCTTTTTTTTCTTTTTTTTTTAGATGGAGTCTCACTCTGTCACCCAGGCTGGAGTGAGCTCAGGTGCAAGCTCAGCTCACTGCAACCTGTGCCTCCCAGGTTCAACTAATTCTCCTGCCTTAGCCTCCCAAGTAGCTGGAACTACAGCCCGGCTAATTTTTGTATTTTTAGTAGAGAAGGAGATTCACCATGTTGGCCAGGCTAGTCTTGAACTCCTAGTCTCAAGTGAGCTAAGCGCCTCAGCCACCCAAAGTGCTGGGATTATAGGCATGAGCTACCATGCC